AAACCATGTGACATCTCTATTAACCTTCCTTTGCTAACCAGAAAGAGCTGGAATGTGAAGGAGCCCCTTCCAAATTCTAAGGCGGGCCAGCTTACAGCTGCAGGCGCCTGCAGCCATGCTCCGCGGAGCACCTCCCCAAAGGACGTGTTTAAATTGTAACAGAACCTCTCCCTACTACTCCCCAGTGGTAGGGCCTGTTCTGAGGGGTAAAGGAGAGATCTTAACGCCAAACACTTGTCTACAGAAAGGACAGCCAGATGGGATAAAGTGAAAACCAACTGCTTGGTCTCCCTTCTGCTTCCCAGCCTGAGTTAACAAAAGCCACTTTCATGTGCTGGCTACAATAATGACAGGGTTCTAACTTCTCCTTTTTCTAACTTAGCTTCGAAGATTAAACAAATTTCATTCCTTCCTAACCTGGCCCAGAGATAAACAGGAGTCACATACACCCTCTCCAAGCCGGGTGGCTTTCTAGAAGATTCTGAAGAGAGCCGCTGGGGTTTCCAAAGAAAGAATGGTTGGGGTTAATGGCTAGACTAAGTCTCTGCAGGATCAACTTTGCCTGGGGACTGTTTAAGAGAGTGTGGCCTGTTTTGAATTCCAAAATGAACTCTACCCAGAGGACTCAGGGGCTTGTTAATCCAAACCAGTTTACAGATCTTGCCATTGAACTTAGGGGCCAGAGCTGGGAAGATGGGTGTCCCATGCAAGTAGCCGACTGGCTTTTCCAGGGGCTTTATGATGCAGGCTGGTCTTTGTTGTCTGGGAGGGTCAAGTCTTCACACGCAGCAGCACCTGGTTTTGTTGTGTATTTCCCTCTAGTGTAGATCCCACTCAGCCTGGCGAACTGCTCAGATTCCAGCGAGAATGACTTACAAGAATAAAAACCAGTTTGGCTGCAGACAGAAGGGTAAAGGATCTGCAAAAGCCTTCAGGATTGAGCAGGGGTCCCCAAGCAGGCAGGCCTGGGGAGCAGTGGAGGTGTGCGGGGGGCGGGAGGGGGCAGCTGGGGAAGCCAGTCTGCAGGAACACCAAGTGCAGCAACAGTGACAAGGGTCGGCTTGATGGGAACCAGTGACATTTCCTCACTCGGGGAGTGAGAGGCTAAGAGTCAACTTGGCTTTCTAAAGCTTTGTCTATTTCTTATCCACGTGACTGGCAGTCCAACTAAGCTTTCTCAACAAACTCAGTGTTGGGACAAGTTTACAGTCGGAATATCACCCCTCTTCAACCCGACTGCTCCCCCAAGTCGCTCCCAGGGAGAGGTCACACCAGCAGAGGCAGGAGGTGCATGCCTGTGCTGTGGCCCAGCAGAGATTAAAGATGCATCTTTAACCAGCTCTCGGCAGCTGCAGTCTGGGGCTTCCCCTAATGACCTATAGTTTAGGGATAGAAAGAGAAAGAAAACAAGATCCAGGTCCATGGGTTCTCTTAAAAGCCGCTCTGCTATCTAATTGGGAGTGATGGTCCAGAAAAACCAGGCCTGAGAAAGTCAGGACGGTCCGACAAAAGCCCAAGGCCAGCCCCACTGAGTAAGAGGCTCAGACAAGCCAGGCTTTGTCCTTTCAACATGAAAGAATGGACTGAAAGGTGTGTGTGTGTGTGTGTGTGTGTGTGCAGCCAGAGGAAGCCACCCAGCTGTGGCCTCCCCAGCATGCCCCAGCTTGTACCCAAGGCCAGGGGGAGCGACCGCCCCCGCCAAGTTCCCAGCAGGGCCGGGGGAGCCGCCCTGGGAGCCACCTGGCCTTCTGGGATGCAGGAGGCCAGCTGGGGCCACACTGCCTGACCTGAAGAACAGAGAACTGCCACCAGTCAGGGATTATATATCGCTGCTTGATGAGCCCAGCAAGGCTCTGAATCATCAGTTAGGACCTTCCTGGAGATCACAGGGAGGAGAGAACAGAAGCTGCGGAAAGCCCCTACCCTCGCCCCAAGGAAAGGACCCTATTAACCCTGGCTTTGAGATGGCTTCACACATCCATGCTGACCGCATACTGCCAAGCATGCTATTTAGGAGTGTTCTATAGTTTTTAGTAATAAATCTACATACTTTAAAAAAACTGACACAGTGAAACACAGCCTCCATCTCCCAGCACCCTGCCCCCAGGAAAATCTCTCCCAGTTGTCGGGTCACAGGCTTTTTCCTACCTTCACGTCTTGGAGACTGTTCCAAAGCAGGGCCTCTTCTTAACAAGTGTCTAAGGAGAATTTAAACTTGATTCATATTGTTTGGGCATCTCTATCACCCACCATGACCCTTGTTTCATTATTTGGTATTTCTGACCAATAACGGAGGCAGACAATGGCCTCCCGGGGACTCCAGGGCCTTTATCTGGAACTGGAAGGATTAACGTGAGACCCCTCCCGCGCCCCAGGTGCCCAGCGGGGGAGGGGTGGCCTTCAAGCTGCATTATTTCCAAGTTGACACAGCGCCCATGGTGTGTTTGGTGTCTTGACTTGGGGCTTTCTCAGCAACTTCCACAAGCAGAATAAAAGCGGCTCAGGAAGCAGCATTATCCGGGTGTGTTATCACCAAAGCCAAATATTTGATGATCAACCCCACAGCGCACCGCCGGGGGTTAGTTTGAGCAAGTTAGACACATGTGAGCATGTGAGCGCACAGATGCAGGGGGAGCTGTCCCGGACCAGCCGCAACCCAGCCTCGCATCACTTGGTTGGCTGGGACTCCGGTAGGGAAGAGGGTTCCCTAGCCACTCGGTGGCGGCCTCTGTTCCGAGGTCCCCAGCTACCCAATCGCCAAACCCCGTGGTTTGCGCGCCACACGTGATAAACGCTGAAAATGGATTCTGCCCGCCCGGGACCTATCATTAAATATTTAAAATAGAAAGCTTGCAATGGCAACGTTCTTTCCCCGGCTCCAGCCGGGAGCCCAAAGGTAAGGGCCCGGTGGCTGGGAGAGGAGCCCCAAGGCGCTCCGGGTGCGCGCCGAGACAGGCGCACCGCAAGGGGACAGGTAGGGCTGGCCAGGGCGGGGAAGGGAAAGGGATGCTCGCGATGCCAGAGCCAGGCTGGACTCAGAGGAGCGAAGGAAGGGCGGGAAGGCAGCTTGACCTACAAGGGCCCTTTAAATCCAGGTAGCGCGGCGGGCCGCTGTAGCCGGTTCAGCTCACATGACCCAGCCGGGCTCTTTGAACTGAGCCGCGGCCCAGCCCGCACCTCCCGCCCCAACCCGCGGCGAAGCCGGCAAAGAGACTCAGGACCGATCCTTCCCTTCCGGTAGCCCCCACAAACCCGATGAGCCTGCAAGCCCTACCGGGGGCGCACAGAGCTTAGGGTTCATTAAGACCCCGGTGCGAAAGTTTCTGGCGGCACTGATGCTTTGCAAATGGAAAGGTGGACCCGCTGGCTGAAAGCAGCGACCCTCTCCCAGTCCCAAAGTGATCCCCGTCTGAGACATAACCCTCCCACCGCCACTCACCGAGGTTGACGAAGCTCATGACCATGTCGGCGTCGGTGAGAAAGTGGCTGTCCTGGAGGCTGGCTAAAGGGGGACCCTGGGTACTGAAGACGGCCTTGTAGGGGTAGGAGAAGCCCTGGCCGTCGGGCCCGCTCTCCTCCACCGCCATGGCGTTGTACAGGTCCAACATGAACATGGGCGCCGAGTTATGCTTTCCCTGGAGGTGCGGGCGCGGGCGATGGGGCAAGCCCAAGATGGACAGGATCTCCCTCTGCATCTCCCGCCGCTCCTGGCTGCGGAGGCGCCGGTGGATGAAGCTCGAGTGCACCTCGTTGTCCAGGCTGAAGTCGGCTAGGGCAGAGCGCAGCAAGAACAGAGGCGCCCAGAGAGCCACGAAGCTGTGTGGCGCCGTGGCGCGCAGCGAGCGCACGTGCATCTCGCCGGCTCTACGCGCGATCCGGGGCACCGGGGCCCGCGCCGCCCCAGGTGGCAGCAGAGGGGGCAGGGCAGCGGTCCACGACGCGAGATCACTTGCTGGAGACTAGTTTCGCCGCGGCCTTGCCACACATGGCCACTCCCCGGCCGGCTGCGCTCTGCCCGGGCCGCCTCTGTCCTCCGCTCAGCCCTGGCGCGGGGCCCCTCGGCCCGCACTCGCCGGGACGCACCGCAGGGTTAGCACAGCAGCTCCCGAGAGCTATGGAAAGAGCGAGGAGGCGGGCCGGGATGGGAGGAGCAGCAGCCTTGCAGACCTTGGAGTCCGGAGAGTGAGTGCCGGGGAGGCAGCTGAGCGCCGGGCGAGCCCTCGCTCCCTTCTCTCGCTCGAGTAGCGCCCAGGCCTGCGGGCACCGGCTACAAACCCTCTTCCGACTTCCCGCTCCCAGAGCAGGGGCCCCGGGTCGCTGCTCCAGCCCTGCGCGCCCCGGATCTCCCTCTAGCCGCTTCGGGAGCCCCACAGTGGTGCGCGCTGGGGCCGGGTAGGAGGAGGAGGGGGAGGAGGAGCGGGAGGACCGACCTCCCCGCCCCTCCCGCTCCCGCGGCCTCCCACCTGCGCCCGGCCCCGCCCTCCCCAAGCTTGGCCCAATGGCTTCATTCATTCCACCCAGGGCGCTTTACAAATATTTACCGAGTGCCCACCATGTGTCCGGTACCTGGACCGACACCGCAGGGGTGCGGAGAGAGGAGTCCGAGGCGGCCCTGCCCTCTCGGAACTCGCACTTGGAGGTGGCCAAAGTGAGACCTGTGTCACCTTCGGGCTGTGGTGGGAAAGTACCGGGGAGGGAGCGCGGGAATCCGAGAAGGCTCCTCGGAGGTGGCCACCCCTGGACCTGGCTCGTCTCCAGTCCCTCCCGAATACTCCATTTGCTGCAGTCATGCAGACCCCCTCCGCACACCCGCTCGGCTGCCAGCTCTGCTACCCTGGCCATTCCTCCTGAGGGAACGTTCTCTCCCTGCCCCTCCCCCTCGGGTGCCACTTCCTCTGGGAAGGAGGGGCAGAGATAATGGGGAGATAAGGTTGTTTCCTCCTACGGACGTTACTTTTCTTTTCTGCACTTCACTCCCCGAAACACACACACACACACACACACACACACACACACACACACACACAGAGTCTTGATTTACGCTGGGTCTTGCCTGCCCCCTCCCCCCCCCCCCCAAATACAGCACCCTGAGAGTTCAGATTTGGCTTCTAGGCTTTTTCACCCTCTTATTTTGAACCCAGAACCAGGGGATCCCCTGATGTTGCAACTTTGTTGAGTGCATAAGTGAAATTTGGGACTAGAAAACGCTCTCACCCTTTCCTCCTGGGGGGGGGGGGTCCACCCACCCTTTATCCTGACACAAGTCTCTTAGTCCTTCACAGTGGACACCTCCCAGCCCCAGGCAGGGCTGAGGACTAGGCAACTGCTGGTCACTGTACCCAAGTTCATGGCCCAGGGGCTGTTCAGGAGACCTCCCAGCTGCATTTTCCTGTCCCCAAAGGACCAGCCACCCTCTCCTCACACAAGGAAAAGCTCCAAACACTCTGCCTCTGGGCCTTTCAATGGTTTCAATGGATTGCTGCTCTTTGTGGCCTCAGTTTCCTTATCTGAAAAATCGGAGCAATGCAGCTTTCACCCAGAGTGGCAGTGGATCTGTGGGATAGTAGGGCAGGCTTTCTTGCTCTCCTAAAGGCTGGCTTCCAGAGGACCCAGGGAGTCTGAGGTGAAGCGTGAGAGGCAGAGTTTGGGGAAGGACATTGGAAAGGGGCCCCTCTTGGAGTCCTAGGGTGAGAAGGGACAGCCTGGTGAGAAAGTCTCCTATAACAAGGAGCCTGCCCTTGGGGATTTTTGACAACATGGCTGCCTGAGGCCTGCAGGATTTAGACAACAAAAGAGGCCTGCAGGTCTTAAACCCAGGCAGTGGATGCCCCCAGTACTGAGTCCCTGGCCAGTACAGACCCCTGAGAGGCCCCTCCCTGGACCTGCTTTGGCTTGTGAACTGAGGCCATGCTGGCTGTGAGCTGTGAGCTGGTGTCATGACCTCTGATCACCATGTTACAGTTCTTGATAATGAATAAACAAAAGGGCCCTACTTTCACTTCAGCAAACCCTGTGGCCAGCCTGGATGCCACACATAGGGCCAGGCAGGAGGACCTAACAGTGAAGGAGCCAGCATGGTGCCCCCCCCCCCAAGCTGGTCCTCAGGCCCCTGGAAACAGCAGGGACCCTCAGTAAGGTCTGGAAACCAGAATGGAGCAGTCCCTTCCTTCTTCTGCCTGGGAAGCACCAAAGCCAGGTGGAGGAGGCCCCCAAGAAAATAGAGACAGAGCATCTGGCTGGCCTTTGGGTGGAGGGGGACATCTGACTCATGAGCTGCAGGGGAGGGGAGTGACAGGAAAGCCACGGTCCATAGGACAGCACACAAGCAAGACCTCTCAAAGGGAGTGGGCCACCCAAGTAAGGTGAGAGACGGGACGGAAGGCTTCTGAAAGAGACACTTTCCTGGAAAAGACATCAAGAAGAGGAGCCCAGCCGTCGAGTGCCTGAAGAGCAGAAGTGAGAACTAGGCTAGCCCCAGACCTTCCTGAGGCCTTAGCCAAAGCCGCACAGGAACTATGCTGATCCCAATGCCAGCTTCAGTGCAGGAAGTGGCTTCCTTCCAAGTCTAGAATGACATCACGTTAAGGTGTACTGCTCAAGGAAGCCTCTTCGTTCGAATCCTGGGCTCAATCTGTAGGAGCTTCTCCACAGCCAGCAAGGTGGGGTCACTGCAGAGGAGGATCAGGTCTGGCTGTGGCCAGTTGCACATGGAAAACACTCCTGTGAGGGGTTCCAATGGACTCCTCCACCAAAAAGGCCTAAACGACGGATTCTAGTGTCTCCTGCTACTCTCCCTGAGGACCCCACACACCCACACAAAGCGGATATCTGCTCACCAAGTACCTGTTGGGTGGATGGATCAATCCGATGTAACCCAGAAGGCCAATGTCTCCGGGGTAGACCATGAAAGGCTGCCCCTCACCCAGGTTCCCACCTCGCTGCGGCCACCTTTTCTCATTCCTCAATTCTGGAGATAAGATTCCCTCTGAACTCCAACCACCCCCCAGTCATCATTATCTCTGCTTCTTCTTCCTCCCAGAGGAGTCCCCAAGACCTCAGCAGACCCCAGCTCTTTCTGGATGATGGGGCGAACAAGCAGGACAGAAGCATCCTTGGAGCGCCCAGGCCATCTCAGGAAAGGCTTTGGGGATGCTTAGGGACAGCCTTGTGGGGAGAAAGTGACAGCCTGGGTCCAGTGACAGTGAAACTGGCCAGCTCCTGCCTTAGTTTCCCAGTCTATAAAATGGGGGGCTAGGAGCTTGTGACTCCCAAGGTTGCTTAAGGATTCACAAGTGCCCCACACGGAAAGGGATCTGTCAGCTGCTTGGAGTACAGAGGACATCCTTGGTAAGTGTTAGTTGCCATCTGGTAAGACTGAAAACACCCCTGGAGGAAGCTTCTGGCAGTTAAAACGAACAGAACTTTCCATGGTGGTCTGCACAGAGGATCAAGACGGCCCTGAGAAGATAGCAATGGTGTGTGAGGAAAGGAGGCCCAGTCCATTTTAAGGCTCCCGAGTCCTGGTCCCCTGCCAGCTTCTCATTGTCCCCAGCCCCCACCCCAGGCCAGCCTGGGCCCAGGGACTTCCTGAGCAGGCAGGCCCTGACCCACACCAGCCCCACCCCCAACCCGGCAGGGCACCCAGCACAGGCTTCAGAGTGTAATGTGATCCCCCCCAGGCTGCTCCACACCTGGGCCACCTGGGCCTGGAATGGGGGGCTGTCGTTGTGTCTGGAGGCTGCTCTGGCCAGCTAGCCTCCCGGTGCTGAGCAAGGAGCTTTCATCCGGTGCACCATCAGTCACACCCTGCAGAGACCATGTTGATCCCAACAGCATATGTCTCCAAGGCTATAAAAAAGAAAAGAATTCTGCTGATGTATATACATTGCAGAGCAAGGTGGGACCTCATCTTCAACTGCAGAGTCTCATTCCATCTGCCTGGGGAGCGGGAGCTGAGCCAGCCTAGGGGTTCCCTGCACAGCTTCGGGGTACAGGCAGTTCCCCTGCTCCCACCCAATCTGGTCAAGGCCAAACAACCTAGATCCCAGACCCACCCTTCCTCCACCCCCCCACCCCCCACCCCCGTCAAACCTGCCTCTCTCTCTCTCTCTCTCTCTCTCTCTCTCTCTCTCTCTCTCTCTCACACACACACACACACACACACACACACACACACACACACACACACTCCGGTGTGCCTAGAGCACTGCCCCACAGGGGAACTTATTTCTGCACACCTGCCCTGCCTTTCTTCCTGGCAAACTCTCCTCTGCAGCAGCAACAGCAGCAGCTGCTGCGCCCATGCCTCCTTTCACGCTGCTCTTTGCAGACTTAAACAGGAACAGGAAACTCGACATCACCCATCAGCCCAGCTTGGGACTGCACCTAGTGGCCAAGAAACCCCAGTTCTGGGGACGATGAGGCAGGAGGTTTGCAAGATGGGGGCTCAGCTGGCCTGCACAGAGCCTGTTGCCAGAAGGAAGGAAAGCAGGCTGGGAAACTAACTCAGTCAGGAAAGTGCTTCCCCACGGGAGGACATTGCTGCTCACTGCTGGGCCCGACAACCTAGCCCGTTTGTGAACTCCAGCTTCCCTTGGGACAGCTCCTGAGGGACCTACCTGAGGTTGACCTTTGGCCTTTACACTCAAATGCAGTGGCACACACACACACACACACACACACACACACACACACACACACACACACACGGTAGGGGCGGGGGAGAAGAAGAAGAGGAGGAGAAAGAAAGAAGGAAAAAAGAAACAAAGAAAGGAGGAAAGAGCAAAAGGATGGAAGAGAGGAATGAAAAAACTCTCATCGACCCACAAGTTATCAGGACCACAGTTCCGAAACAGACAGACCACACCACCACCATACACACAGGCTCTGTGATTTCTAGGGTTTGGCAAGCAATGGACCATCGGAATGTGGGGGTAGGGCAGGAGGGTACTTTGTTCTGACCATCATGGCTGTCCTTTCTTCCTCTGGAAAAAGACCAGTTTGGCAGTGGACATCAGCTGCCCTTGGTTCCACTTCAGAGGGAACCCTTCCCTCTCCTTTCAGAAGGTGACAGGGAGCCTCTGACCCACAGGACACATTTGCTCCAGGGCTGGCACCTGCTAAGACAACGTTGCCTCACACTTCCACGTGACGCAACAAAGGCCGAGAGGCTGAGAAAGGTTGGCCCAAGGTCCAGCCAATCGGTAGTGGACCAGGATCCAGAGCCACACTGTGTGCAGGCCCAGGCACACTGCCACAATTAGAGATGTAGCTAGCTGTTCTTCCCTCTCGCTCCATCCACAAGCACTGTTTCTGGCGTTGGGGTGCTGGGATCTGCTGGTGTGCAGATTGAGTGCCCATCTCACATGCAGCCTAGGAAGCAGCTGGACTCTGCCCCATGCCATTCCCAGGCTTGGCAGCTGCTACTGTCTGTGGACTCTCCACGGAGGATCAAACACTCTCCTAAGTGCCAACTCTGGTGGGAAGGCTGCAGACTGAAAATCGCATGCATGCCAGTTAGGACTGGAGTCCTTTCTAAATCAATGGTCCCTCTCTCCCAACTACCTATACCATACTCACTGTTTCTGTCCTCAGTCTATACACCAGAAGAGCTCAGTTCAGCTGCTGGGAACCCGCCCAAGGCTGTCAATCAACCATAACTCTAATGCAGGCTGTCTAGTCCTTAAACATGGCACACCCTGGAGCAGGGACTTGCCTATGCATCTCCCAGTCCTGGCAGGAGCCTTGCCCATAGGAGTGCCCATCACTGCGGCATGATGCCCATAGCATCTTGGGGCCTGTCCTCTCTGCCCGCTTTAAAGCAGAAGCAATGTGTCCCAGTGCCACAGAAAGCACCAAGAAACCAGCATCAGCCCCACTCGGGCCCAGGGAATGCTTGCACCCTTACTGGTTTCCATGAAGGAAGCTGTGAGCACAGGTACAAGGCCTTTATACAGTAAGGAGGGGAGGAGCTGGGGACTTCAAAACTGTCCCAGAGCCAGGCGGTGGTGGCACATGCCTTTAATCCCAGCACTCAGGAGGCAGAGCCAGGCGGATCTCTGTGAGTTCAAGGCCAGCCTGGTCTATAGAGCGAGATCCAGGACAGGCACCAAAACTACACAGAGAAACCCTGTCTTGAAAAAATAAAAACAAACAGCAACAACAAAAAAAGAAAACAACTGTCCCAGAACTTGACTCCCAAGTCACCAGACAGCTCTGATCTCTAAGGGAAACTGGTACCAAGTTTACATATGACAATTCTCATGTTTATTTGCTGACAAGCACATTGTTTTTAAATTGCTTTATTACATTTTTTTTACTCTCTCTCTATGCGCACGTGCGCGCATATGTGTGTGCACGCGCGCACACACACACACACATGCACACACACATGCACCCACATGTGCCATGCATGCATAAAGAGGTAGGAGGACACCTTGCAGTGGTCGGTGGATTCTCTTCTTCCACCACATTTGTTACAAGGATCAAACTCGGGTCATCAGATTTGGCGGCAAGTACCCTCAGTCACTGATCCCTCTCACCGCACTCTGATTTGGATTTGAGTATTGGACTAAAAAAGATTCAGGGATCTGTTTCTGGGGGTCCAGCTTGCCCTGGTCTCATAGAGGGGACTGCTAGGTTTGGGCCAGAATTTCCCAGGTTCAGCCATTGTGTGCAGAGTGCTTCAGCAGCAGCAGAGGCCCTGGAAATCCGGGCTCCCGTGTCTCCCTCTTAGAGCAGGAGAGGTGCTCTCATTCAGGCACCATTGCCAAGCTGCAGTTTGAAGCTGCGCTCAGGCGTGCAGTCATTACCTGACGCAGGACCTTCTTGGGGATATGGGTCAGTAGGTTAAAACTGCCTGCTGCACAAGCAAGAGAGGCATGGTTCGAATCCCAGCACCCACATAAAAGCACCGTGGAGGAGCAGAGACCGGAGGATCGCTGGAGCTTGCTGGCTGCCAGCCCAGCTCCAGGTTCAGTGAGAGACCCTGCCTCAAGGATAGACAATGGAGAAAGATAGACCTAAGACACACGCGCGCGCGCGCGCACACACACACACACACACACACACACACACACACACACACACACACACACGGAAACAGTGTGATCTTTTCTCACTCTGTGGTTTCTGTTATCCTCCCTAAAGCCTCCTTTAGCTACCTCAGTCCTGACTCATGGGAGAAAGCCAATATGGGGAGATTAGCAGTTCCGGGAGGGTCTTACACGGGATGTAAAGCCTCCTAAGAACTAGATTAAGGGCGCAGCTCCCCATGTCAAAGCGTTGGACTCCAACTCTAACCTCCATGGAGTTGCTGGCTTTCCTGTCCCACAGATGAGGCAGAAAGGCACACGTGTGGTCATGAGCAGTGAGTCCAGCATTCCACCCCAGGGGTACCTGCTGCCGAAAGTCCTGTTTCAGCTGGGCGGTCCCTATCGTGGAGCCAGGACAAGGTGTAGATTCCACCGTGCCCATGATTCTAACCATTGCTTAGAACCGTCAGATTTGGCAAATTAAAATCAAGGCCGGCTTGGGGAAGCGGGGTTTTTCTCATTCACACTTTCCACCACCCAAAAATATATAGCTCCTTGTCTATTGCTTTCTTCTGCCTGTTAAAATGTGGACCTGTAGGGTGGGGCTAAGAAGGTGGGGAAGCGGTTTACAGCACGTTCTGCTCTTGCAGAGGACTCAAGTTTGGTTCTGAGCACCCCTGTGGAGTGGAGTGGTTCGGAACCATCATTAACTCCAGCTCTAGGAGCTCTGACTCCCTCTCCTGGCCACCAAGGGGACTGCATTTAAGTACACATCCACATAGGTCTTTCTCTCTCTCTCTCTCTCTCTCTCTCTCTCTCTCTCTCTCTCTCTCTCTCTCTCTCTCTCTCTCTCTCTCACACACACACACACACACACACACACACACACACACTTAAAAATAAAGTATTTTAAGATGTGGGCATTAGTTCTGTTCTGACCCACTCACATATCTGAGAACCAGAATGGTGTCTGAAATGCACCTGGTGCTCAGTGATGAATTGATTGATTGATTGATTGATTGATTGATTGATTGATTGATTGATTGATTGATTAATAAGTGAGCAAGCTTTCAGAGAGAACTATGACATGGCTGGAATGGCACCTGACTCAGAATCTGGAGCCAACACTCAGTCACCTGCCAAGTGATGATAGACACGCCTCTGGTCCCCTTCCTTCAGCAGGGCTCAGCTGACAAGTCCTTATCACAGGTGACAGAGGATTCTTGATGGAGCCCTCCCTCAGCAACAGCGGCTCCCTCCATTCTTCCTGCCCAGCTCATGTCCCACAGCTGTGCCCAGAGACACAGCCCTGGGCTGTCCTGACTGTGAGTGTACGGCTGCTCACCCCAGCATTTCTGCAGACAGGTTGTGGTGCTGCGAAGGCAGAAACAGGGAACACGGCAGAACCGGGGAACACAGCAGACTTAGCAGCTCCTGGCATGACCCTCGTCACCTCTGAACTCCCCCTCACTTTTCCAAAGAGACACCATTTATATACTCCACCCACGAGGAAACTGAGGCCCAAAGAGGCTAAGCAGTCTGCTCAGGGCTGCACACAGAGAAAGCAGAGAGCCACTGTGAACCCAGCTGGCCTAACTGAAGCCCCAGCCGGTTCATAGCATCCGGTTTTGTGATAGCGCCACCTACTGGGGATGTGTGAAATGACTGTGTGAAATGCTACGGGGGGGGGGGGGGGGGGGGGCGGCCCGCGGGGCGGGGGTCTGGGTGGCTATAAATGGACCCCTCCACCACCTATGCCTCTCTAACCAGAGACAACCTAGCCAGAGCATGTCACATGCAAGTCACCATCCAACT